TCTCGTTAGCCCTCTCTTTGTCTCTGTCCCCTTTAAAAGCCCTCCCTCTTCAGTTCCTGTTTGCTGGATCCTCGTCAAACGTCTGTCGGCTTACCTCGTCTCTCCCTGGCTCCTAGAGTTTGGTTTCCCCTGATGTCTTCTTGGTTCTGGTTTGTTTGTTATTTTTGTTGGATTTTTTTATTCCTGCCTCAGTTCCTCTGAACCTCATTAAACCCACCTTAATTCACCTCTGCCTACTTGCCTCTGCTTTTGGGTCCTCAATCCAACACCAAATCGTGACTGTTCTGCATTTAATCAAGCAGAATTTTACAAAATGTTTTCATGAATTTCGTATAGAAACACTTTTTATTTTTCTTAATATATTTGGGCAAGTTTCTTGCCATTACATTCATTTTTGCCATGAAAATATCCATATTTTGTAAATAACAAAGGTAATAACATGGAGTTCAATAACACTATTCGTTTGAAGTTTTAATTTTCCAAGTATTTCACTGAGTACCCTATAAATGGTTAACCCCACACTGCTCCCTGCGCGCCCCACAGTGGCAGCCCACTGCTCCCCAAGCGGATGGGTTAAATGCATTAAGTTCATTTCGTTACTCTGTACTTGTGGCAGTATAATGACAATAAAAAAGCTTCACAAAAGTTTTAACAACTTTATGTCAGAGGACCGAACTTGCTGCACTTCTGACATGCAAATGGATCCTTTATGTACTTAAAATAACAACAATGAGCCGCTCCTCCAAAAGACTCACACTTTATTGGACGTATTTTACACCATATCTGAGGTGTGTATTTGTAGACGATATTCCAGCAAGGTGAAACCATAAATCGCTATGGTAACCATGCAGTCAGTCACTTTATAAAAGTCTTGTGATCTGCCTCCAGCCATAAAACACCCTATAATACCGTCCATTCGTTGTAGGAGCAGCGGAGTGTAGCTGTTATCTCTGTCCAGGTTAATGATCAGCCAGAGTGAAACTGGGGAGTGCCAACAGTAATCTCTGACTCAACACGGCTTAAAAAGACTTAGTGCTGAAACTACATATAATAAAAAGGCACATCCAGTTTACATCGACATACTGGTATTGACTATATGGGTATATGGTTTGATGATCAGAGCAGCATGGCAGCACAAGAACTCGGCTAAAAAGATGATTGGCCAGATGGGGCCACTAACATTTGGGGTGGCACACTAAAACTAAAAGCCATAATTTCAAGATATAGATCTAGTTTTGTGATGAACCTGCCTAGAGAAATCATAAAGGCTTAACTAAAGACCTACTCATATTCAATTCAGTTTTTCAATTCAGTTTATTTCTATAGCGCAAATTCACTACACGTCACCTCAAGGCGCTTTATAGTTCACCAGATCATCCAGTCAGATTGATTCAAAGGTTTCTATCTTAGGAAAACCGGATTATTGCATCAATGTATTGACTTAAATGCAATCCCTCACACTAAGCATGC